GAGCCTGGTGTGGGGCTAGATCCCAGGACCCTGGGATCATGACCTGAGCCGAAGGCAGACGCTTAATGACTGAGCCACCCAGGTGCCCCTCAGCAGCTTTTTTTTTTTAATGACATGTATCATTATTGTAACTTATTTATGTGTTCACCTTCGGTTCTTTCTCTACACCTTAAGCTTTGTAACCTGTTCAGAGCTGTATCTCTAACACTTAGAATTTTTCTGGCTCATAATAGGAATGCAAGAACTATTTCTTGGATGAATGGATCAGAATTACCTGTGAGTATTACAGAAATGATTTCCAGATCTTAGCCAAGACCTACTTGAATTAGAATGTTTCAGGGTGATATCCCAGAAATCTGTATTTTCAATGCCTGAGAAATCTGTATTTTTAGAACCTTCCCCAGTGATTTTGACACAAGTGGACATTTTCTCAAATCTCACTACTTATCCCTAGTTCTTAGGACGAAGTCCTGGATCCTTAGTTTGGAGATCCCCTTTGGCACTTCCAACTCAGCATGCCAAAAGTAAAACATCTTCCCCCAAGAACCTGCTTCTCAAGGCTTGGCCCTTAGCTAAGTCCTGTCCACTCCTCCAACCTTCTGTCCTACCAATTCTCTCCTCTCACTATGTTTAAGTTACAAAGGTGTTTTTTCCCTCTGTTCTCAGGTGCACCTAGCCTTTTCCCACCTCAAGTTCTTGCACCTACTCTTCCTTTTTCCTGGAATGTTTCCCCTCTTCTCCACCTGGTGGGTCCTTCTCTTCTTTCAGGACCCATCCCTCATGTGCTACCTCCTGAGAAAGCCCTTCCCTGACTATCTAAAGTATGGTCTTCTTTTTTTTTAGTTTTTAAAAGATTTTATTTATTTATTTGTCAGTGAGAGAGAGAACGGCAGGCAGAGGGAGAAGCAGACTCCATGCTGTGTAGGGAGTCGGATGTAGGACTCCATCCCAGGACCCTGGAATCATGACCTGAGCCGAAGGCAGACTCTTTTTTTTTTTTTTTTATTATGTTATGTTAGTCACCATACATTACATCATTAGTTTTTGATCTAGTGTTCCATGATTCATTGTTTGCGTATAACACCCAGTGCTCCATGCAATACGTGTCCT